TTGTGGGAAACTCCATCAATGACCAAATAGAAATCCTGCTATAAACACTACTCAGAAATATTTCGCTATTAATGTTCACACGAATCATGCTGGAATTATCTGATAACTAATCGCTTTGCCAAACACACACTTCGCTATCTATATACGTACTGAATAAACGTACCCCGTGCTAATTCACAGGGACTTTCGAGTGGGAAGAAATTGTTATAGAGATTTCTGAGAATAGTCAAGGTTATTGAGGTAGCTAAACCGCTACAAAAGTAAATCCGTACAATGTTATGTATATGATATAATCTATATATATATATATATATATATATATATATTCTTCTGGCATTATTAAACTAATCAGTTATAATTCGATTTTTAATTACATAGGGAAGAAATTTATTATCCTTTGAAAATCCCCCTTTATCTTTTAAAACTAGTATCGAAATGGCAAACCAAGAGTACTGGAAAGGTAGCTATCTGATACTGTTATTAACATTTACAAATTCATTTAATTCCAATTTCTAAAAAATTGCTATGGAATTCTCGAATCAGTACGCTTTAATAGGCTCATTGCTGAATTCAAATTGCTTGTGAGCTAAGCCATTTTCAAATAAGCCTAAATGAAATTGCACTTAGTGAAAAATTTCCTCTAATATTTTTAGCCGTTTGAATGAAGTTTTTTTTAATATTCTGTACGAAACTTTTATAACTTTGAAATTCGTTCAAATTTATTTAACTTTCTGTTATTACCGAGGTTTCAAATAAAAAATAATTCGAAGATGCATTACGAAATAGCCTAAGATATTATTCATTTCGATTTATTTATATACGGTCTATATATTTAGGGTGAATGGCATAGTACTAGTCTCATGTTCCAGTTTTTATAATTAAAGTTATTATAGTAGACACTGCGTAAATTTGAAACATTTGTTTCAAATTTTGATTACCTTGGCCCCGACGAACTCGGATATTTTACCATTTTCGCATTAAATCCTATCTAATTAGATTATCATTATCTTTTACTGGTGAATACGTTCCTCCACTTTTGTTAATGTTGATAAATCCTTGGCATTTCCTCAGGGTTGAGCATTCATTCACATTATTAACAATTCGTCCACTGATATTTTTCAACGTTTTATAAAAGGTATACGCATGAGAATTTGAAATGATTGGCAAAAGATTGCCAACCAAATTTCCCAGAGTCGTTTCGTTTGCAAGTATGAACGTTCAAACAGGTGTATTAAAACAAACGATTTACCATGTCAAGGCATTGATGAAGAAACGACAAGTAAGTTAACAGAATTCATTTTTCAATAAATTATTTCGGCTTTAATTCTAGGAATGTGCCGACTTGCATTGGAATTCGAATAACTTGTGAGTTTTCAATATCTATTATGGCCACCTTCAAAGCCTTACCCACACGCTCTGTCCTGCTTTCCAACCAATGAAAGTTATTGACAGATGTTATAAAGAAAGCCAAATTATGTTGCTCTATCAATGATGTCATCATCAGCCTCTAAATGTTCACAAATCAATATAAACATCGAAATAAATATAACTTCCAAGACTCTATTGGTAAAAGACATAAATAATGAAATTTGCAAATTTTTGAGGAAAATTTAAAATTTTTCAATTATAATTATTAGAATTTAAATGTCACCTAAAATACACTTAAGATTTAATATAACTGTGAATTTACGAGAAACGTATTTGTTGTTATTCTTTACCATACAGGAATATACAATGACCTCGAGTTTTGGGTGCGTTATCCGCAATATTTAATAATAACTTGCCCCAAACCAATGTTTTTATTATAACCAAAGATAAATGAGGTGGCTAAGACACCATTCGACAAAAACGATTTCCGTTAAAGTTTCGACACTTGAAACAGATTTAGAATTTAGTCTTCCAGTATATTTATTTCACATTTATTGAAAAAATTTTAAGATTAAAAGCACTGGAAAGGATTTATTTGATCTTGTCTGCGGTACTTTCGGCCTTAGGGAGACCTGGTATTTCGGGTTGCAGTCGTACATTCTCGTCAGTGATGGAAGTGTGAAGTACCTTAATTGGCTTAAGCCAGACAAGGTAATATCAATTTTGCCTGATATTTTGTAGATACTTTCTCAGCATCCGCTGCCACTTTCCTTTCAGTTTTCTTACTTTTTCCATGCCAAATTTTATCCCGAAGATGTTGAACATGAGCTAATTCAGCCCATTACAAAGCATTTATTTTATCTTGAGGTGAAAGATAAAATTGAGAACCGCGGACGTCTTAGTCACCTCGGTGATGCCGGTATGTTGGCATTTATGTTTATCTATGTGATCATCTTAATACTATTTAAGGATTTTATTTTTTCAGCATTTATACAACAGTCATTGGAGGCAGCAATCCATCTTACTGTTCTTTCAGCACAGGTAATTAATTTCTTTAGTTCAGATGTGATAATTTTTAAACCCATTTCAAACAAGTAATCCATTATTTTAGATTGAATTTGAAGACTTTGGAGATAATGAGATGGAGGATGAAACGGAACAGCTGGCTCTGTCAAAACGATTACTTCGGCTTCTTCCTAAATATCTCTCAATTAATGTTCAAGTTAATAACTCCATAGCACAACGCCTCAAAGAATGCTACATGAACAATAGAGGTCTATCAAGGTCTGTCTTATGTAACTTTACTTTGCCTAGAATTGATCCTTTAATTAATAAATTCCTTATAATATTTTGTTTGAAATTCTGAACTAGTTAAACTCGAATACATCTACCTTCATTTGTATTTTTCTCCAACAGTGACCGCCGAAATCTCCTTTTTATTCAGATTCTTATTGATCCATTTGAATTTAGCTAATACTAATTTTTGAGTACTTTTATATACGTATGAGATTTTTATATTTGATATAATTATAAAGCATTATTTACAATCCTTATTTTTATATCAACTAATATTCGAATATTTTGAACTGATGGGGTCGGTTATGTTTTCAGATTAATTATGAATTTATTTGCTTTTCTTAACCAATTATACTGCGTATTAATAAAATATTAGCACGATTGCATTGGTTCTTTCGAGGGTTACCATCGTTATCATTTATCGAACAGTGGGAGATTGACTTAGGTTTTAGTTTTAATATTCTGCCATAATTACGTCACAACGGATATTGCCATCTTTTAATTTACAGTTTGTGGTAGTTTATGAATGAAATCTCAACACTTACGTCGATGACATTGGCTGGGAATATTTTAATATGGGTTGCGTGATCTTAAGAAGGAGGAGGAAAGAAGAAAGAATGTCAGCAGTGCTCGAAATATCTATTCTTTGTGGTTAAAAGCGGCTATCCCACATTGGAATCAATTCCCTGAAATATATTGCATAAAATTTACATTGCCATGCAGATGCTAACAAATGAGGAAAATAACATAAATTTGCAAGAAAATTAAATATTGGTTGAGTTAAATTTTCAAGAAAAGTTTCTGTTTCAAGTTTTTATAACACCGTCTGCCCACGAAACTTTCCCTCTGAGAATCAGTATTTTGATATTTCTGCGTTTCTGGATGTTCTATTCAGAAAACCAGTAGGTTTAATATAGGACAGGTTATTTATGAAATTCCCTATCTATGGATGTTTATACGGAGACGCCAATCATCGAGCTTGTCAGCGCATATTTGGCAAGGGTCCAATGGGAAAGGCGTTAAATAACCACAACTGCGTCAATGGGGATGACGAATTGGTCGATGGAGTTGAATTAAGATGAAAGAACTATATTGGTGATAAAATTACTCAAACAAGAATTAAATTCCTTACATTGATTCTCTGGGTGGATTAATCCAACATCAAGGTTTTTGTTTCCCCTATACATGTTTTCCTATCAATTCTTCTCACGTGATCTAAAACAAAGCGGATTTACATCAGATCAGCGCCAGGGTAACACCTTTCAATCCAAAATCAGTTTTGTACATTTAATGACCGGCCTCAGTTCGCGTATAAATTCCATGGTTATTTCAATGAAAGCAAAGGTTGCAATTCGGTCCTGAAAAGAAGGGTTTATCTCGAGCTTCAATTAATTTAAAAACTCCTTTGTCCTTAAAATCTGCTCTACTTGAGGAATTTGATGCTGTTATGCTAATTACATCAGGAAACATGAAATTGTTTTTTACTTTAATATACATGCTCACTCGGGGATGATAGGCTACACCTTTTTCATTTCCTTACTCTTGTCGCAAATCAATTTTGCCTTAAACGTTGTCAAAAAACCTGTCCGTTTAAGCCATTGCTGATGGAAATTCATTTTATTGAAGGAAAGGTGTCTTTGTGCCGCCTCTAAAAAATTCGTAAGCTAGCCAATTGTTTCTTTTACCTAAGAGTGTGAGGTCTTGGAAATAAAATGTGGGCTAACTAATGTATCAGAATATCTTTATTCAATAAGCTTGAGAGTCATTATTAATTTCTGTGAATAAAAATCTCATTTCGCTTGATAAGGGAATAGGATGGTGTCTGAAATTTCGCCCCTGTGGGACCCAAGATCGATTGCGTGATACGCGCTTGCACACAGTGACTGCCATGAAATTTTTGCACGTCCAACTTGCTTTACGCTTCCGAATTAGAGCCATGTCACTGGTTCTCCTAGTTTCTTTATTTTATGCTCCACACTTCCTTGAAAGGCCCTGGCAGATATAAAAAGCTCAATAGCTTTTTTTTAAAAATAGGTTGGAAATTTAGCTAATTGCTTATTTATTGTTTAGAAAACATTTTATTATAAATCATTTTTAAATTTTTTATCTACATTAAAGTACCATCAAGTTATTGAATCTTGCATCAGAAATTTTTGAATAGTTATAGGCATCGTTCCATTTCAATTTTTTGGCATCTATTTATGTTTCAAAATAAAGTTTATTTTGTATTTCGAAATTGATTATCTGATCTAAGATATTCTAAGGTAACATAATGTTAAAAAATCCGAAGAATTTAGAATGTGCACATGTCGGCTGATCCTTTTGATTCGACTATCCCTCGAATGCCCGCTATTACTATTGCCTACCAACAGGTTAACATCTTTAAAAACGTGAAAACCAGCTAACCTTTTAAAAACTAGTGGATTCAAGAGAAGACTTTTTTCTTCACTAACAAACTGATTCGCGGTGCTTTGTAAATTACTCAAATAAGATATTCAGGATAAAAAATTGTGCGCAATTGCAATCTTAAGAGCTATTCTCTAGTAGAACGAAAGGCATTCAAACCATGCACGTCTTTAAGACAACGAGTAGCAACAATTGCGTCCCTAGTTACATAGAATATACTCGTTTTAAAAGTTAAATTTCAATTGTCTCTTCACTTAGTGAATTCTACAATGACACCGCGCATTTTCAAGTTAATTTCCACGTGATTGTCAGCTATTGCCAACAACTCGAAATATTTTAATTCGTTAATAGCTGGAAATAATTGGGAAAAGGTCTTAGTTCCCTGATAATATTTAATGTAATTAAACTGGAAATGGTATAAATTTAATATACTTTTGACAAATGGGCAAATTGCACTTACTTTTACGCCTTACTTCAATGTTGTTTCGCGAAATTCAACATAATGTGTCACTTACCATTATTCAGTGCCAACCAAAACAATATTGCTTTTTATTCACTGAAAAGTGTCAAAAAATGACTATTTTATTTATTTATCTTTTTACATTGTCCATTGTTCTGATCTTGCGGAAATTTTATTTAATTTATCGACCAACCGTGCCACCTTCGTAGATTTTACCGAGGTCGTAAGAGTTCTTTCGAGGTGTTTTTTTGAATATTTATTTATTTTTATCAAATGGCCGGCGTTTTGATAGTTATAATTAGCTTACTTATATCAAATGGCAGGCGTTTTGGTAGTTATCATTAATTTATATCAAATGGTAGGCGTCTTGATGGCTATCATTACCGTTAGTTGACTTCAGGCTTCACAGAGGGGAGGAGGAACATCGACGGGAAAAAAGTCGAGAGGGGGAGGGAAGTGAAGAGTGTTTCAAAGATGTAAGAGACAAGCACAAAGGTAGAAAAAAGGGTGAGGTGATTACTGTGGAAGTAGTCAAATATGACATAGAGTGGGGTGATGGTAATTTAAAGTGTGAAGTCAACGGCAAGTTAATAGACTTTTTGCCGTATGAGTATACGTTGCCCAGAGTGCACCACGTGGAGGTAAGTCTATCGCGCACCCCATGCTTGTAACATTGATCTCGGGACTCCTCGTACTACTGAAAACCGCTCACCATTTTGGTGTACTTTTAAGTCCTAAATAGGTCTTGGAACATTTATACGGTCTTTTTTTCACTTTAGGTGATGAAAGCGACGACGACGACGGTAGCAGCAGCAGCAGCAGCTCCGATACCGACGGTAAGGGGAATGCGCAGATGTTGATGCTATGATTTTGCACTTTGAATATATATAATTAAAATAATCCATCTCTTTTGCATTTGTGGTAGAGAGGCGTTATATATTGCAATTGGTTTCAAAACCTCTCAAATCATGGGCCACGAATCAACTAAGATTCTAACAAATATTAAATTTTGATGCTTAATTAACATTAGATTGTTAATTTTATAATTTTCCAACGTAAACATGTTGTAGGTTAGTGTTTTTTCAGTTTGCATATTGGCGTTTCGAATCGTATCAACATTCAACTCGCTCACTTTCTGTTCTGCGTTTTTAATTTGCATGGAATGTTAACAGTTATTAGTGCAATCTATTTTCAACCATTAATTATAAAAAGGCAATTTTCTGCTCTAAATGTTTTCCAATTTTGGACTGTATTTCTAGCCTTTTTATATAGAGGATGACGATGTGAAAAATACCGACTCTGGTAAGTTGTGTATGAGTTATGAATTTTCAATTAATCAGTAGTCATAGCATCATCATTATTATTATTATCGAGTAGGGTTACTGGAGTTGTTTGTAATCTTCAGAACTGATTGTGATCTGCCAAGAATTGGGGATGAAGTTTATGCTGTCTCCATTCTGCAAAAAACTTGAACATCTTTCCATTGGTCAGCAATTAGATTCACACTATCAAATATCATAATAGGCTGAGGTAATGTAAATGGTTTTGGTAAAGGAAGCAGAAATGTTGAAATAAAGTTTTGCAGACATTGTCATCTTTCCACTACAGCAGAGCAGATTGGGCTTTCGGGGACTAGATTTCACTCTAAAGCATTAAATAAGGGATTGTAGTTCATGAGATATTCACAGTTCGTTAGGAATTGTTGAATGTTTGGAAGGCTTCCTCTGGATATATAATAATCGTATTTTCGGTGGCTCCCCTTCCTAATTAATGGCAAGTGGTCTGCATCGTTCCTTAAGTTGAGGTAACTTTAAACTTCTCCCTGCGAAACATCACCTCAAAGCATAGTCCCTTGTTAACATGTTGAATTATCGTATTCTGGTGTAATGGGGCAGAAAATTTAGGTGTATGGGAAGGGGAGGGGGGGGGGTTGGAAATGTAGTAATTCCATATTTTACTGTTAATAACTTAATGCTCGAATTCTCCACTGCTTGGTCTACCACGTATCTCCACTAGAGCATTTAATACCATTTTCTATTAAAATTGTATCGTTGTCTTTGAAAAGTGCGATTTCAAATAAATAAGTTAGAGCTCTTGTCTTTAGATGATGGTGACAGTTCTGAGGACGACAAGGAGTCTAGCAATGACGAAGTCGACGATTCCGATGGTGAAGAATTGGACGCTCAACTCGAACAGGTCTTGCTTGCCCGCAAAGCCTCTGCCAAGGCTCTGAAGAAACCGGGTGCTAAGCGCAACTGGATGGCAGCAAATATCAAAAAGGGAAAGAAAAGACCTTCTGGAACCATGCCTAAAGTTGTAAGTCTATTTTTTGTGTGCTCACGATCGCTTGGTGACTAGTTTTTGCTCAACTAGTCTATTTCAACTCTTTATTAATATGACACACTAAACGAGGATTATTTGGACAAATTGGTGTAGAATCTTTGAGATTTCATTGTTCCCCTCGAATTTTGTGTTCTCATTTCTGTTGGCCAAGTCTCTTGTTCTCTTACAATCGAATTTCTTATGATGAGCCTATTTCCCTTTTAATCCTAAATACCACCATAAGGAAAACGAAATGCGACTTGATGATGGGTGTCTACTTGACTCTAAAGGTGTATATGAGGGCGTTTGGATGTTCATTTGCCATCAGTCGGAGCTTTGACTCATATATTAATACGTTCTCTTAGTTATTGATAAAATGGAAATTAACCTAACCGTTTTTGTCCTTTTTTAGTTGCCGGTTCCTACAAAGCGCAGGAAGTAACTGCGTGTTCCCCTATCGTGATTGTTGTAGGTATGCATATATATGTTATTGCTATGATTTTATAATAAAATCTGTCGGTGAATATTCGAGTTTTTTTTTCTGACCTTTTAAGAGGGCATTTGATAGAGGGAAGTCCTCGATGAATAGATTATGAATAGAATTGTTAAGTGGGTTAGGGTAGTAGAATTTACCATTCCAACATGTGTTAAATGTAGTTGCTGTTTGTGGTAGCATGTTCTTGACAGATTTCTACTGATTGTGCTTGATGATTTCAATGCGGACACGTGGACTGAGTTGAATAATGGTAGCTTTAAGCGGGTGCTATATAGGTGCTTGACGAGGAAGAGGTTGAAATTTGTGTAATCCTATTGAATAGCAACCATGCATAGGTGTGATGGGGAGAAGGTATGTATGTTAAGTTTCTGTGTCTTCGATTCCTTATATTTTAAGGAGTGCACCCGAGCATTTTTCGTCACAGATGCAAAGATGATCCTCAAGCAAATTGACTCCTTTTCCCAATAAATGCATCAGGCAGAAATTTTGTTAGAAGTATCTTCTGTTATTCAGATTTTTTGGGTTAGGGTTAGACGAATAAGTCGATGATGGAAAGATTATGCAGGTTTTATCGAAACTCTAGTATGAAATGCTTTCGACCTATCTTTTGGTTCACTTGAAGCAGGCTAATCACTAATTCTCTCCTACTGCCCTTTTACCTCCGTTAATCAATTTATTCCTCTATAAAAGTATGCTTTCTCCTTCTACGTGTTGTGAAGTTATTTTATACCATTGGAAACAACCTAGAGATGGTCTAAGCATCTCTTGATTAGCTGTCTCGGCAGTTTTGCAAATTCTTAATAGGGTCAACCCCAGGCCCTATTCCCAAATATTCTTTGATTGCCACTAATTGATACGTATCCATTATGTGACCCCGGGGTGTGCGATAGACTTACCTCTATTAACCGGCAGTTGACTTCAAACTACCACAACCCCACTATATGCAGCATTCGACTACTTCCACAGTACTCGCCTCACCTTTTTCCTACCATTCTCTCTCTCCTTTACATCTTTGAAACACTCTTCTGTCCCCCCCCCCGCCCTCTCGACTTTTTTCACTTCGATGTTCCTTCCCTCTGTGAAGCCTGAAGTCAACTGAGGGGCTAATGATAACCATCAAAACGCCTGCCATTTGATATAATAATAATTATGTGACCCCAACTATGAGTAATTCCTACTAATTTCATACGACCCGAACTCTAATCTATAACTTGACCTGTATTCCAATTTTAATAGCTAGTTTCGTCACGATAAAACATCCCAGCCAATTTAGAAAGAAGCCCGATTGAGAAGGCAGTACATGCTTAGCTAAACGAAATAAAAATAAATTTGCTTGTGTGGGGATATGGGCTGGCCAACAATTAACGCTTGGCTAAATTGAATAATCGATACCCCTTATGCAAGAGGGACAAAAATGGCGAGCGTCGCTCAAGTTCACAGAAAGCATTTGATCCGCATTCAGGATAATTGGAAGACTATAGGCATGAAATATAAGACAGCACAATTCCCTACTAATACCAAATCTTTATTCAAACGGAGTACGAAATTAAACGGATATTTACAAAATGAGGGGGTGATATGTAATAATAAGGCATGGTGATCCAACCATCACGACATGCACTTATCCTCTCCTCTACAGAATTGTCTTCATTGGTATGGAGATCTCTTGTTTATTTGATCGATCACTTTCAAGAGCACAATTTAAGGTCAATGTTGAAGATATTTCCTTTTCAATTGACGCTCTCGGGGCATTCTTCATTCGACATCGAATTCTCAACAGAACACTACATTGGGGTCTAAATATAAATACCAATTGTTAGCATACTGCTGAATAGAATAACAGTAGTACAAGAAAAATAATTCCACTAACTCAATAAAGAACTTGTGAGCAGTTGGTTTCACCAGCTCGAATAGAGGCGAACTGAACAACCCCAAAGTGATTATAACGCGTTCTTGGGAAATATTGAGGATTTCACACTAAAATTACAAACGCTTTTGTAAATTTGAAGGGTCGGAAAAGTAAAGTTGAGAAAGAAAAAAAACAAAAACTACCTGGAGCTCCTGGCTTTCACGATGGAATAAAAGGGGAACTTTCTTGATTTTGATTGGAAGTTGGGGAGCAATGGCTTTCTTTGTAGATGAAGCCATTGCAATGGCAGCATCCTATACGAACAAGTAGCGAAATATCAATATAAGGAAATCTTATAAAAGTGACTAGATCGTTCTATATTTCCCTCTCTCTGGGTATGCAGACTTTTCAAATGCAGCCCCACATTCGAGGGTATCGCCACAATGACAAAATGAAGTTTAATCGTGATGTGCGTCATTTGAAAATGCCACAATTTGGGGGTGAGTTTGTAACTGAAAACTGCGGATTATATCAACTCAGCCATCGCAAAATCGATGCGATTTGAAACTGAACGCCCTTCAAGAGTAGTCGAATTTAGAACACACAATTATTTGACGGTTGAAATTTTGTCCGAAAGTTCTAGACTGGTGAGAAATTGATTTAACTATACTTAGTCGTGCCAATTAAACACATTTGTATCATATTACACAAAGGGAAGATAGAAAATAACAATTTTTTTAAACCAAACAGATTTGATAAAAAATACTAATCTCGGTAAGCAGCGTTTCGTGATAAAAGAGAGCACCATGGTTAATCAACCCTGAACTCGGACACAACCAATCAAGATCCGAGCAATCGGACCTTGAAATTTGAAAGGTTAGGTTATAAACAAATAACCAATATCAATTAAGTAAGCTAGAAAAAGAAGGCGATAAGTCAATAATTCAAAAGAAACAGGCTACTCTTGAATCGCAAAGTTTGTCTTTAGGCGCAAGGGAACCCCTTGAGTACCATTGGTTTTTAGTTTAGAGTTTGAAATCAATACCGTCTGCAATAAGAAGGATTATAGGAGATATGCATATACATAGAATTGACTGTACCAACATTTTGAGCTCATAAAACTCAATTAAGAAAAACTACTATTCCTCGGAGTTGGATACGTCCTAAGGTAAAAATTGTAGAATGTGCTGTGGCACCAGCTTTGAAAGATAACTTACACACGCGGTAGTGGCAACAAACAGTACTTCCACGCTCTGTGTTGGTTTATCCTCAGACATTGAATTCGATAACAGCGAGGCAGTAATATCCTCCGAGAACTGGAATTTCAATTCCCAGCGCTCCTCAAATCGAGTTCCGGGTGGCGTGTTATGTGGGGGTTCAAATCGGAATGCAAAGTAGTGCGTCTGGTCGGCCTGGACAGTCAACGGAATAGCCGGAAGAATGATGGAGAAGACTGAGGGCTTCGTCTGTGCTACTGGTCTTGCCGACCAGTAGAGGCGCCAGGTCTTGCTTCTTCGTCGGCGAGTTGATGAGGATGTTGTTGTTGTTGTCGAACAAGTGGTATTAGTACTTGTATTGTTAGGGGTGGTGGGCCCAACTTCTGGTAGAGAAAGCTTGAGCTCCAAGATACCGGCTACAGCAAAATAAGTAGACGATTCGATAAGCGCTAAGCTCTATATTCGATCATAGTCAAAACTGTATTATTCGCATTGGAAAGGAGCTGTTCAGTACCCTATGACAATACCTAAACTGACTAGAGAAGGTGCTTTGCGTAAGCAGATCTTAAACTTAACAGCTATGAAGTTGTCAATTCTTACAAACAAGAAACACCATACTCGCCGTTGGTAAACTTCGTATCAAGAAAATTTTGACTTCCATTCAACAGTAGACATAGTCTCAGGTATCCAGGTGGCAGAGACAAAGTCAAAAAATTGTAACTACTTACAAATTATATAGGAAATATAACCACTTACATATCATTTCCATTGATTAGAGGTGCTTAATAAAAATATATTAATCAGGGAAGGGATTCCGTTTATTTAGTTATGCTCAAGGTATTAAGATTGTTCGATTCTGCATTAATGAGGAGGGAATTGAGGTCTCATGCACGCTATCTTAATTAAAACTTAGTTATTACGCAGTAGAACGCAACCAAAGTCAAATGTTACCGGCTTGTGCTACAACATTCAATCCCACAGCCAAGTTGTGAGTAGGTCCCATTTATTGTAGATTAGATTATTAGATTTCTTACTGGCCATCTCTAGTATCCACAAGGCCAAAACGTCAATCTATCAAACCTCATAGAAACTGGACGGCTCACTAGAGCTAATATGACAACCACTCAGCTACAATTAGAAATACCACCCCATTTATATAAGTCTAGCGCGAGAATCACAGAGACTATGAATATGGGGCCTTGGAGGAAAATCAGGCAGTCGAATTGCGGAATACGGAACGATGATATATCGATGGATTTGGAGGAAGGAAAACGCGGAAATCCAACTAAAACCGCGCAAGTAAGGAGGAAGCGGCATTCCCCTAAGGATTAGGGTTAGGGATGAGATGATAGGAAGGGGTTGATACCTTACATCACCTCGTGCCACCGTTCCGCAACCTTCGACTCAGCCCAACTCTTGGTTTAATGAACCAAGGCCCAGAGTGAAATTGAACTAATGGAAGCTTGATACAGAATGAATAAAGTACCTTAACCACAAGGAATACCACAACCCAAAGAAGCAATATATCAAGCAGTAATTACCGAACTTTCATCTTATTTGAGAGTTCTCAGCTAGTATTCGGAGATCAGATGAATAAATAATTCTCTGTGGGGGACTTCTCATAATACTGATACCCCAGTTTCAGCCCTTCTTAAGCACTAATTTGTATCATTCTAATGAGGAGCTGTGGGAATCGAAAAGTATTTCGTGAAAGTTGAGAACCAAAAACTTCTTTATCTGCGGTAGTAAATATGCGACGTTAGCCATCGCCTTGATAACAGGTTAAAATGGCATGGAAAAAGATAGGATAAAATTGCAAACAAGCAACAGAAGTATCCATAACTTTGAGTCTCTTTAAATCACACCATAATCAGCAATCAGGAAACGCTGCTCTAGGGAGGAATGCCAAAAGAGGAGTGAGAAAAAGTAAAGAGAGCAAGCGGAGTTGTTAGCCAATCATTGTTGTCGAAAAGAGCTACTAAATGTATCCAATCCCTCGTACTACGAAATTCACACTCAGTTCACATCCAAACTACACCTTATTGTCCATAAAACACAAGGAAATGCTGCAACATTTTAATAAGGGGTATGACTGCCAAGATTTCTCATAAACACCATAGTTACTATTGTGGGGTGTGTGATAGACTTACCTCCACGTGGTGCACCCTGGGCAACGTATACTCATACGGCAAAAAAGTCTATTACCTGGCAGTTGACTTCTGACTTCAAACTACCACGACCCCCCTGGTTGTCATATTCGACTACTTTCACAGTGCTCATCCCATCTACCTTCGTCTTTGATACACTCTTCTGTTTCCCCCCCCCCTCTCGATTTTTTTCACTTTGATGTTCCTTCCTCTCTGTGAAGCCTGAAGTCAACTAAAGGGCTAATGATAACAATCAAAACGCATGCCATTTGACATAATAATAATAAATTTACTATTGATAAATACTAGTTAGAATTACATACACTAGAATGCCACGGCTAATCTGATAATTCAAAGAAACTACAATTGTCATATCTCCAAACTAAATAAGAGCAAACACATTTCCAAGGAGTTAAAAGCTGAATTCACCACATTACTTGATATTATCGGTGGATAAAGAATGAATAACTTGAACTAATTCAAAACAAAGAACCGGTAATTTGAAAACTATCAAGAGTATTTCCAACTATAGCTAGACTTCAGAACGAAAAAAAAACAAACCTAAATCTCTTGATTTCAAAATTTTAAATGAGTTCCTTAAATCAGAGTAAATTTGATACACGTAATAATTTGAAAATTTATCTTGAAACCGCTTGTCTAACTTACTCGTTGGCTTCTTATAATTCCACGGGGCGAAAATGAGTTGCGACTCAGGCCGAATGGATATTAAAGGTGGTGGATGGGACCCAGTTTCTTCACCTTGATGTTTCATAGAGGAAATAGTCGACTCTTTATACAGCTGAAGGTCATCATACGCAATAGAGGCAGATTGTTGTTGCTGTCCAACCGCCGTTGAGGCTGAACTCAACTGAACCATTTCCTTGGCTGCTGAGCGCTCCCCACCAGTCAATAGTGCAGATGAAGACAAATGCCCATCGAAGGCGACCTTTGTACTCTGATGCTCTAAGCGGGCTAACTCCTCCATTCGTACATTTTCAACATCACCATCCAGATTGCTACCGATAATGAGAGAGCTAGAAGCTTCGAAGCTTGAAGATGGGGCATTATCATTTAGAAGAGGGTAGATTGTGAGGCTGATCGGTGGACACGAACGCTGCTCGTCAACCAATGCCTCATGCCAATCGTACATATCACGTTGAAAAGTTGAAGGGATTTCAGCTTAAGTAAAAAAAACACGATTTAGTCCTTTCAATCAATATTTCAGTCACTTAGATAGCCATGGGCTTCAAAACCACCCCCGGAATATATACTTGAGTTAATTGGGGTCTGGAGCTAGCGAATTTTTCACAAACATATTAGATTTTGAAAGATTTCATTTACATCAAAAAGTTGCAGGTTTGATATGCAAGATTCGTCTTGTAATTTCAATTACAGGACAAACAAAAGCTACCTCGAAATAGCGAACATAGAACCAGTGAATATAACAAGAAACTGATGAATCATAAGATTCCGTAGAAGCACCAAACTGATTACCTAGACTACTTGTTCCTCGCCAGGTCAGTGTTGTGAATGCATTCAATATTAGTTGGTAGAGGTCTAAAAAGATTTGTTCAACTCCGAAAGAGTGGTGCTTAACTACAGCCATATCTACCTATCACAAACACAATTTGAGGTAAATACTGAAGTTGGGTTCCACTGCTATTGTCTAGTTTTAATAACGAAAAACGAGCCCAGGGGTAGATCATTCATCTGAAAGTTGGACGAAACGAAGAGGTTAGAGGAAATAGTAAAATAGCTCAAGTGTAATGAGGTTTCCATAGCCTGATCATCTGCCCAATTCGTAAACTTCCAAGTAAATTTCATTCAAATAGATGTTCCGTAAGAGTAAAATAATTGTGACGTCCAAAGCAAACAATCCCCTACACGGGGCTTCTAGTGCACCATTTCCGGTTACTCGAAGCCGTATTAATAGACTACAAAAGCAGTCGAAAAGACATATACATTTATAAGTATATCACCTTTAATGGTGACGTAAGAAACTGTGACCGACAGTTTAAAAGACCGTTTGAAAAATAGCAGTGTACATTCTTGAGTCTGATGGATCAAATCTAACTACTCTTTCTCAAAACTACCTACAATAAGTAGTTTAAGATATACTATGTTGATTGATGAAGTCATTGGTCAAATACCGAGCCAAGTAAAGTTAAACCAGCTTACTTAGCATTTCTTGCGCTTCTCCCTCGAAAGGACAAAGTACGTAAGCAGAACGGAGACGACGATGGGGTTTAGGAATAGTAGAGGGTAAGGATGGACTAGGATGACCTTCGGCAATAAGTCTAAAATTAATGAAAACGTGGTAACAAAAAAGTAGGAAATTATAGATGACAAGAGCATAAGTAAAGTGGATTATTAGCGTAGAGGAGCGCGCTTACAGATATTCTGGCATTTGATGTGTTCCATTCAAATACATAGGACTACAGTCAAGAGTAAATTCTGTATGCGACACACATAATCTACATATATGTTATGAAACATATCCTTACATCGGGAAAAATAGCGAAAAGTTAATGACGTTTAATCAATTATTTTGAGATCAGGGGAATGTAATTCTTATCATTGAATATACGTAATGCTAAATGTGGACATCTATCAAGTCATAGAACCTTGATTCAATAGGTACTGGTGTACATCATGATGGTTAAAATAGTAAGAGATAGATAGGAAAGAGTGAGTTTCTCGTAAGAGGCTTTAATATAACACCCTGAACATGATGAGTAAGATGAATTAACTGGTAAAGAGAATAAGTGGTTCACCGAAAATATACGATCGGAGAAAATAGCTGCCAACCGAGCATATTCTTCAAATTTGTAGTGAGGTAATCAAACTGAAGGATCATCTATCCAAGGATCAGTCCTTTCGCTCCAAATTCACTGTTATTTTAATTTTTATTGCTACGTTATGATGCAATGATGGGGGATTATGATCTACCTACTTTGGTCTTTACTTAGGGACGTCATCACACTTCTCCTCCCCTTGTCAAAACTACAACGACTGATTTACACTGTTTAACTACCGAACAAGTTCTATTCACTGCCTCACCGCCCATCGGCAGAATAATCCTTTGAAGCTTCACTTTTTAGGCGAATACAAATGACGCAAAGAGCACTTGGGCAACATTACACTAGATAACCCTTCTTTCTATGAAGCACCTACCTTAGGCTTCTTACAATATCCACAAGAATATGGATCCAAATAAAACATTCAAAATTGGCTAATAGAACCTGAAACGCAGGAATCTCAAAACAATTTAAACATTCAATTGAAAACCAATGCTTTCCAAAGTAACATGGATTTGGCCTAGTAATGGTGTAGTAAATACTAATAGAATAACTAACTTACCTAGATTTGTATAGATACCGCAGGACCTCATCTCCAGTATAGAAAAAGACCTGAATTTCTCGAGATTCATCGCAAATTCCAATTGTAACATTCTAAAATAGACAAGGAGTTAGCAAAAATATAACTTCATGGAGTTTATGAACAAGAAGGCAAATTTCAGCAACTCACCTGAGATTGATTGGGTTGCAGAACGAACCTTGAGGGCCTAATCGATACACCACTTAGTGGTGTTTGGGAAATATTTGGATCTGCATTCGGTCTCATAGCAACAGCGTAGATCCAGGCGCTTCGTAAACCTGTATTTCGCACTGATACACAGGCGTAATAGGTAGGCGATTGAGATTTGAAGCTAAAAGATTCGTCTTGAGCATCCTGTGGTGTAGAGAAAGCAGACGTCCAATAGGTTCTCTCATCGACTGCTCGACAAATGCCACAGAGTATGTTACTACCACCAACATATCCAATCAGTCTTTGCTGGAAGGGGGAATAAAAGGACCTTAAAGCCAAACTTCCATATAGAATTTATGGTAGTCACCCATGATGCTCAATAAAACTGAAAAATATTTTTGAGCACTTCGAAAAAAAAGCCACCTATCATTATGGTCTTACACAATGAGACGCGTGAATGACTTGCAAAATAAAAGAAAATGTGTGCAGTATTTACTAATGCCCAAAATAGCACGAGCAATAAAAGGGATCGGCAACTTGAACCCATTTAGGAAAAGACATCATAAACCTCAATTTTACCATCTTACCACTAGTGTATGGCATTCTAACTTAAAAATAGATAGACGCTCCTACTGAGTAAAATATAAGTGCCAGACTCACCACATAACAACGAGGTCTCGCATCTGTTCCAGAAGGATGAGCCCCAACCCCTGGTAGTTCAGAGAAGGCGAGAATTCCAGTATGCCAAGAGAGTGGTGGACGTGGTTTATATACAACAGTGATAGTGCAAGCAAGTCGAGGAGGCAGATCGATAATTCGCCATCTTCGGGATATCTGCTGACCCCGGTGATCCAGTAACTACGCGAAAAGAAAGGCAAGAGTAGTAAATAGAGGAAACGACTCAAAAAAATGAAAGAAATTGAAACTCACGAAAAAGGATTCTATGCCGTCAATGATCTCCAACTTCAATCTCATAACACGGTCTGAATCTTGGCGTAGAATGAAATGCTGTTTACTAGGGTAAAAATACCGAGATAAGAAAATAAGTACTATAGCATTATGGCAGGCAAAACGTGTAGATTGATTTATTAAATACCTTTCGTGTTCATATGTAGCTGATCGCCAGAGCAGACATCTGGTCGTGGCCATGAGAGGATGTTTTTTGTTATCCATTTCAGCATTTGTCTTATTGCCTGAAGCGCCTATTAAAAACGAAATCCGATAGTGATAGAATTACAGTATACATTGAATGCTTGCGCTTGGGAATACATGAGAATTAAAATGACACATAAAACAGTGTATACATATAATTATTCCTAATAATTCGGGGTGTGCGATAGACTTACCTCCACGTGGTGCACCCTGGGCAACGTATACTCATACGGCAAAAAAGTCCATTAACTGGCAGTAGACTTTTGACTTCTAACTACCATCACATCACTGTATGTCATATTCGACTACTTTCACAGTACTCACCTCACCTTGTTTCTACCTTTGTGTCTGTCGCCTTTACATCTTTGAAACACTCTTCTGTCCCCTCCCCCTCTCGAATTTTTCACTTTGATGTTCCTTCCTCTCTGTGAAGTCTGAAGTCAACTAAAGGGCTAATGATAACTATCCAAACGCCTGCCATTTGATATAAATAAATTCCTAATAATTCGGACTCTATTAAGAAAACTGAAAGCAATACAGGCCTCAAGCGTGCTAATAGGCTTAGAAACTTCCTGCACAACAGAGAAAGTGAACTGGGAGTCTATTGAGGCCATTGGAAAAAGAGCAGCACTTAGTAATCGGTCGTCAGAGCAACTGGTTGAGGTTTTGCAATCATAAATAATATGGCCAATATCTGTTAAAATCTGTGCTACTTCATGGCCTATATGATGATATCAATCTCAGAGCGTTCATTTAGGCCACATCCCCTAAAAAGGATACAAGATACGTGAAACCGTTACAGATATTATGAGTGGCATTTTAACTCATTTTTACCTTGTGCAGATACTACACAATCAATGATGCGAACTTAACAAAGTGATGTGAATCGGAGAGGCTTATATCAGGACGCTTCTCTTCCCAATGATTAGGTGAATAAAATTGTGCCAACGGATTAGTACCTACATGGCCCACAACTTTTCGCGTCTAAGGTATAATGCGAATTTTCTCAAAATGCATTATCTTAAACTAAAGTGGCCTACGCTATGATGGATTGATCAATAAATCAAAATCGAATCGAAATTACAAACCTTTGTTTCTTAATTTTAAGCCTTAAAAACATTCCAATGTTGGATTAGCAAGCCTTGAAATGAACGATTTTGAGAAAAGGTAAAGAAATGAAACGAACCGGAATTTTGATTGCCCGATTTCGAGAGATTCGAAAGTGTGAATGAATTCGCATCAAATTTGGAAATATTTCCCAGTGTGAAAGAAGCCGCATCCAAATTGCCAGTAGTTGTCACAGACGGAATTACACTTGAGGGAGCAATAGCTTTTGTTCCCGAAGCAGCCGGCATGGTATGGGTAACGGTAGCAGTTGGTTGAGCACCCATAGACGGAGTGGCGGATGTCAAATTAGTATCCAAGACAACAGGAACATACTGGTGTGTGGTAGACCGTGGAATGACTTGAGGAGCAGCAGTGGACTTATGGTGGATACCGTTTTCAAAAATGTCAAGCGGATTCCCTCTGGGCGAATTGGATCCATCCAAGTTAATACTACCTGCACCGTTACGTTTGGCTGGACTACTGAGAGGTGAAAACATGGTGAATGGGATAGCTCTCTGTTCCTCTCCATCACAGGGATCGAAGACCTTGGATGAGCTTCGGTTATCTGATGCATTCTAAAAATTAAAAATAATGGAGGTTTTATTTGGCTGCTATAATTTGCATCCACTAAACAATTCTATGTAAGGAATAATAGCACTAGAATCAATTGACAGATGTCTCACCATTTAAAAACTTTTCACGAAACCAAACCACAGCAAATGAAAAAGCTTCATTTATAAAGTATTCCAAGAGCAATAATTCACTGTTGTAAATGAATTAGCACTTGATTAACAATTCTGAAGGTCAATATTCGTAATTTGAAGACAAAGACCCTAATTTCCTACCAACAATCTACGTGCTCAGATTATGCATTGATAAGCTATTTAAATTGTTGTATTTTGTCAAAAATTCCCCAAAACTCACGTTCGTAAACTCCAAGTTATTGCTGTTTACAACGTTACTAGTGATAGATGGAAAAGAATTAAGAGCGTTTGAAGATTGCAGAACACCAGATGTGCGAGGACCAGACGAACTATTTGCAGGAGCTCCCGACATCAAGATTGCAGAAGTGTTATTTTCCTTGTCATCGGTATTTTCTTGCGGAGTAAGACCCAACTTCTCTTCAGCTCTACGGTTGTAAGCAGTAGTTGACTAAAAGAAGCATAAAGGTGATTCTTAAGTCCATTAAAAATAAAGTATTTTAACAGTAATGCTATTAGAAAGTCCGTGACCTCGAAATTGATAGACAATGTACTTTTACAACTACGTCATAGACACTACCAAATTAATGCCTTATGGTACTAAGGAGCAGATTCATATACGACACAAGTAAGTAAAGATTACACAAATAATAGAAATAAGCCAAAGGCGGAATATTTGACAAGAGCCCGGCAAAATATAATGGAAACCGCTTTAAATTGGGGCAATTGATTCTCCCAAGTGACCTCAGTCAACCATAGAAATTACAAAATGTGGGTTTCCATGACTGTTAACTGAGAATAAAGGTTTAATCAGCTTGGCGGTTATTTTTATGTCCCAATGCATATAATTGATTAATAGAATGGCTTTGAACAACTACGTGCGACCTTAATCAACTCTCTAGCCTGAATCAACCGCGGATATATTATAAAAACAGAATTAGACACCAAGGCAATATTACTACATAGAAGAATCACGAAAATGAACTGTAACAAAAGTATTAAATAATGAAATGAAGAAAACATAAATCGGTCATGACATGTGAAAATAGCAATTCTTTCATAAGCCCTATCGACATTTTGACAAAACTTACGGTGAAAGATTCACGACTTTGCCACTCATAGATAGTTGACAAGTATTCCTTCTCTTTTGCTGTTCTGGCCAGCAGCCAATCGAGATCATTTCCACTGGACTGAATTTCATTTTGTTCTTGAACTTGACAGCCATCCAATGGTTCAGTCTTGATTTAAAAGAAGCTCATGAACGAAGTTAAGATCGTAAAAGTGAAAGGCAAATTAATTTTAAGTTACCACATTGTCTCCATCATCAATCGAGAACGAAGGCAATCCATCAACATCAGTATCAGCCGTCTGTAAGTCTGTGGCAATTCCGTCGGTTCCTTGTAGTGGAGTTGCAATCGCACCGGTGTCTCTAGGACAAGTAGAGAGTTCGCTGAAAGCATTTTCTAGGTTACGCAATTCGTCATCATTGAGAGCAATATTCGCGTGATGTCCCTCAACCTCCTCCTCCTCTCCAACAATAGTCGTGTTTTTCTTAGTAGGAGTACTATTTTTTTCATTAAGCAAACTAAATGATAAAAGTTTGCTGGATAAATTATTGAGATTGAGGAGATTAAGAGAACCAGACTGATTTTCACTATTTTTGTTTATTGTATAAGTTGCATTGTCGCATCCAGTGGAGCTGCGAATCGCAGAAGATTGCGCAATTGGTTGCAGGCTATCCACAAAAGTATTACTCAGTGGGGATTGAAACGTCCCAGAAATGTAGCCGAGTACGCGAGAATCACAGCCTTCCATCTGAAAGGTCTATGGAGATAAACAATATAAGAACAACACAGTAACATCGAGAAATTAAAAGCGTTAAAATGTAACGAAAAGAGCATATGATCCCATTAGCCACATACTTTGCATAGAATGCAACGAAAAATTGGAAAAGTCAAAATTACCAAAATTTTCAACCGTTTAACTGACTGCGCTTTGAAAATGACATAAACAACTAACAGATGAAACTAAACTGGATGAAAAATAACGTAAAATTATGACAATTTTTAACTCTTGTATTCAAAAGATTTAAGATATATCAAGTACAGATTAATTTTTAAGATTATTTTAACATTTCATATTTAATTTTACCTAACGTGGAATTTGTGTTTTATATTATTTTCAAGTTAATTGAGTAGATAATTCACTGATGTTTTACTTTAACCAAGGCTATTTTGGAATTTAATTCTTCAAGGCATTTACTATAATTTTGTTCCGATTAGTTCATATTTTGTTCTTATTCACAAATGTTTCCAATTTCTATTAAGTGGATTCTCTGTCTTCGTTATTTTGATGCTCTTCAATAAATCAAGCCTTTAACTTCTCTTTATGACGATGCTGGTAAAACCAGCATTTTTAATTTTACGTCATTCATATGCAATTATTAATCATTATATATTCTAGGTAACCTATCAAAATCAAATCTTATTAACTATTCTAAATACTTTTCTTATGTTCCTATATTCAATCGTGCAATCTGTTAAGGCTGAGCTTCTTAGTCAGGCCGTGACTAACATTTCTTTCCTTATTAAGCTAAATCGTTACCAGTTTCGTTAAGTAAAATGAATCGCCTATCAAATTCTGCCTCAATCAATTGGTCCAATGCCTTGTCTGAAGTATATTTACTCTATCAGCGTCCGTTAATATTTAAATTAAATGTTTTCTTCAAATCAAAGTAGTTTTTGAACTTCGATTTAAATTCCTTCTCCGCTTTTAATCTTGAGTTCTTCGTAATCACTTTAAAATTACCCCATTCAGCAGTGATTTTTTTCTCGTGACCAAGGGGTTTTACATTTGGCAGATTACGTTGCAATATGCTTACTTATTGGTGATATGATTTGGGCTTCTCTAATGGCAAATCAGACACTTAGATTCCTTAAGTTATTATAAAAATAAACGGAATTTCTGAAAGATGATCGATGTTATTTATTGACTCGATTTATAGTATTTTTACCTATAGACTATTCGATAGTAAACTTGATAAATTCGCTCCGCTCCCCTAACTAGATGCCAGGTCAAATTGATTGGGAGGGGGGAACTGTCGAGTTCAGATACCATATGAGAGCTAGTATTCGAATTGTTAATTTTTTGCGTCGTTCACACTACATCGTGAGAAAATACTATGCATGGGAATGGGGAAGAATGAAAAACATGTAAGTGGTCAATTGTTGAAATATGGTTTATTCTTAACTTATTTAATAACAGATATTATGTAAATTAAGTAGTTACAATAATAATTTATAAAGCCCTTGGAATATTCGTTAAAATTCAAAGTCACATGCTTTTGAAGCCCCTCAATCAATTAGAAATTATTTTTTCAAGTTTTAGATTATCTGTCTTGAATACTAACGCGTTAAATGCTTTACAGTTGCATAATAATAAGAAGATTCATATTCAAGTCCAAGCATTCCATTAAGCAAAAGGGCATTGGAGATCTTGTGCAAGAAAACGCATTGAAATGTTAGGGACAAATCAAGACAATTCGATTTATGGAAGACAAATTACCCACAAAATAAAATTTTTCCACCCAAATTTAAAAGTAAATCAGGCCATCAAACCAGGGACATTTATTTATGATTTTGCATTATTTCCAAATATCGGACTTTATTGTTACTTTCAAGCATGAAAATAATTGTACTATACTCAAAATAGTAACCTGATTTTAAAATTATCTTATTGTCACCTCAACAAATATTATTGTACATCTCTGTCTGTTATTACGCGAGAGAGTTAACTATCCATAACACTTTAATAAGTTAAATAACAATCTAATAATAATCACAAAATTCGGATTTAATTTTCCATTTCCTGCTCTAATGCAAAATCAGTTAAATCGCACCTTTGATTGATATGTCCAATAAAAGTAAAGCATCGGACAGCTATAATCTATCTATCTATCAAGATCATATTCATTCAAAACGTTCTGTTTTTATATTACATATCTCTAAACAAAATTTCCTGAGCACCCTTCATTAAATCCTGCTTTACTTGATTCAAATTCTTGCTCGAAATAATCGTTGCCCACTTTAGTGCGGAAAAAATAAAAGTAATTATTCACATATCAAACCCACTCTGGCTTAAAGGATTTTTGCTTTAAATTTAAATTAACTACAAAATAGAGAAATTTCTTTCAGAATAACTTGGAATTATATGTATATCGTTGTTTGAACAGAAAACGAATGATTCAATGATTCAATCTTTTATATTGCCAGTATACCAAGAGGCCCTCTTCACCACAATTTCGATAAGTGGAACAAGAGGATTGAAAAATTTTATAATTTGTCCACTTTTGTTTTAGCAGATTACTTAGGTCGTGCTGATCTGTCTCACGGTTGTTTTGCTTCGATTCTTTCTTAGATCATTTTGTGTTAAATCTCATAATTTTACAATTCACTGATGTAACTCTTATAAAAGTCTTTTATAGTTATTTTAACGTATTGAGATATCGTTTTTAATACGCAATTTAGAGGCTTAATTTTGAGTTTTGTAAAATGATTCATTTATGTAATATTAATTGTTTTATTTAACCGAACGATGTCATACGAACGACCTTGAAGTTTTGCCTTATCCAAACACCTTCAGGAGGGCACATGGTTGTCTCCATCTTTTGTTCTCCACCTACATTATCTGTTATTTCTTCGTTTAAATATTGTGAAAACTTTTAATAATGTATGTTTAACGATATTTTCTGACTGTCGTGATTAGTTGTTTCTGTTCCATTCACATCCCACTTAATTTTTAACTAATAATTAATCATAGGCTATTAATGAAAATGTCTTTGACTAAAGCTAGTATGGATCAAAATCTTAACACATCATCTATGAGGGACCATGAGGTCAATCTGTTTTCTGGAGCTTTTTCAACTTCATGCGAACGGGTTCCGAATTCGAATGAAGTGGAGGTAAATGGTTCCGATAATCGTCTACAGCTAATAATCACTTTCTTTTATAACAGTTGTTTTATTTATTGCAGAACAGTCAAGAGTTGGTTTCGTACTTTGAGGATGTTTGCTTCATCGCTATATCTGGAAAACGGAAAAGTGGGAAAGATTACTTTGCCAACCTTCTTCGCAAGGAAATTATGAACCGTTTGGGTAAAACAGCTGCAATAATTCACATCTCTGAACCGATTAAACGGGCTTTTGCTGAGGAACAGAACCTTGATCTTGAGAAATTAATGTCCTCCTCAGAGTACAAGGAAAAATTCCGTCGTACCATGGTGCATTGGGGTGAAGTGGAACGACGGAAGGACCCAACAGTTTTCTGCCGAAAGTCTCTGGAATACTTAATGCAGGACTCTCCTTTCAAACCAATCTATCTTATCATTGCTGATTGTCGTAGACCTTCTGACCTGACATTCTTCTCCAGCTTCAATAGAGAAATTCCACTTCTTCATCTTCGAATATCCGCCTCACCAACTACTAGACGTTCCCGAGGTTGGATTTTCTTTCGGGGCATAGATGACGCGGAAACTGAGTGTGCACTAGACGACGCCCCTTTTGATATCCTTGTGATCAATGAATCCGAAAGAACTCTCAAACTTTCTATGAATATGGTAATTAGGGCGATATCGGGCAAACCGCTGAGGAGAATCATGACCCTATAATTGTCAAATTATTCAATTTCTATTCCCTCTTATACATATTTTATATTTAGACAATGTGAATATAGATTTAATATTTGCTTACGAATCCTTTTATTGATTTTGCCAGTAATTTCTATTAATTCTTCGAAAATAAGATCGCTATAGATTTGACGTTTTGTTTTGACAAACGAAACTGTTTAATGCTGATCAAGAAAGAGGTTGTGGATGCCAAATATCTCAACAGTCTTCTATTCAAGGTAAGATCGAAAAAGTGGGAATTGTCTCTTGGGAAATTATGTCATGATTATTATTCATTTGCTTTTTTAGACCACAGCTGGATAAGTAATTTTATAGTTTTAACTAAAACATGTCAATTTAGTCCTGATTGGTCAAATTGTCTTGGTTACTTCAACTCCCCTTTTTTAAGATTGTATAAGCTGCTCAATTTCGTTCTAGATCACTACGTTTTCTTAGGCTTGGGAAGAGCAATAGTTCTGCTGATAAGACCAATCTTTAGAGTTATGCCAGAGGTACACAAAAATCAGATATCAGTCTTGCCCTATCGCTCTTAGTTCCAAGACTGTAATCTCTCTATTTTAAATAACAAGATTGGGTTTAACACAAAAATATTTTTGATCGGAGATGTTTAATGACTACTTTGGTTCAATTAAGCAACAATAAAGCAAGGCTGGATAATTTGCTAGCTAGTTCTGCTTAAGTACTCAATAATCCATAGGAAAGGACATAAAAAATAGCCGACTAACCAAAGACATCCAAAGATGTGTTTTTGTCCAACAACAACTTCATTCCGTGAAATCAAAAATTTGATTTCAAAATATTAGAATAGAAGAGCTTCAAAGATGGGTTCACTTGAGCAGTTCATTAGATTGTACACGATGAAACTATTAGGTTGGCAACTAAGTCATTGTCGATTTCAAATAAGAAGGCAAATTCGGAATTTTTGTTTAAAAATATAACTTTATTCAATTAGATATTGGGCGTTCTTGTCGATGACCTTTTTCCATCGTTCTGGCAGAGTAAAAATTCCCCCTTCGTAAAATGTCTGGTCTTTGCTATTAAAAAACTGAATTAGGAGTGATCCGACATCATCCGCGTTGTTAAAAATGTTACCATTTAAAGAGTTTTGCATGGAACGAAACAAATGGTAATCCGAAGGCGCAAGGTGAGGGCTATATGGTGGGTGTGACAAAACATCCCAACCCAGTTCCAATAATTTTTGCCGAGTAACCAAAGATGTGTGGGGGGGGGGGCCTTGCGTTATCATGATGGAAAACAACACCCTTCCGATTTGATAATGCCAACCGCTTATCTTCAATTGCATCCTTCAGTTTTTCGAGTTCTTCAACATACACATTTGAATTTATCGTTTGGTTCTGCGGCATGAGTTCAAAACACAAAATTCCTTTGTGATCCCCCCACCAGACTGACAGCATAATCTTTTTTTGGTGAATCTCTGCTGCTTTTGATACTGTTTGGGCTGGTTGATCTTGCTTCACCCATGATCTCTTGCGGGTAACATTGTTATAAACTATCCACTTTTCGTCGCCAGTAACTAGGTTCTTCCTCGGAAATGGATCATTCTCATTGCGTTTCAGTAGCGGCGAATCACAGATGCTAATCCGTTGCGTCAAATGAATTTTCTTTAACTGATGAGGGATCCATAAATCAAGTTTCTTGACATAACCAAGAGTTTTTCATTTTTTTTCAATGCATGTATGCGACACATTGAGCTTCTCTGCAAAATCTCGTGTTGTGCTGTGACGATTTGAATCGATAATGGCCTTGATATGGGTTTCATCCACTTCGACTGGGCGGCCAGATCGTTGTGAATTTTTCAGTGAAAAATCACCGGAACGAAATCTTTCAAACCAATTTCGACACTGCCTTTCTTTTAAGGCTTCATCTCCATATACGGCACATAACTTCTTTTGTGCTTGCGATGCGTTCTTGCCTTTTCGGAAGTAATACAATAAAATGTGTCGGAAGTGCACGTCCTGTTCTTTCATTTTTAAATTGAGATAAAAACAAAACTAAAGAACTAAACAAAAAAATTTTTACTAATTAACCTAGAAGCCCATCCAGTAAGAAAAAAATATAGGTTAGATGCTCTGGCCACGTTAACAAAACAAAAGAAAGTATAGAGTGAATCCGTCAGCAAAAACGCCAATGACTTAGTTGCCAACCCAATATTAAGTGGTTATGTGATCTTTTCACTTTAAAATCCTTCAAGCCCTCTCATATTACTGTCAATTTCGTTACCTCAACCATTTTTACTTTAAGCAACAGTACACTTTGGTAAACCTTTGAGTTAGGGTAAAAATATTGACACATGATGGCATTTCTCTGAAATTTTTCTCTCACCTTGTGCTTTAAAGCCATTATTTTTTGCAAAATGGAAATCGTATTCGAATAATAATATTGTTCCTATTATGCGCAGTTATTCTAATTATAAAAATGCTACTCATATACAATCTAGGTAACCTGAAAGTCAAGGTCTGATTTTATTTTACAGGATTTACTTCACTTCGACATCGAATGGCAGGCGTTATGATAGGTTTCATTAGCCCTTTAGTTGACTTCGTGCTTCACAGGAAGGAAGAGGAACACCAAAGTGGCAAAAAGTCGAGATAGGGGGACAGAATAATGAATCACAGATGTAAAAGGGACAGACAGACACAAAGGTAGAAAAAAGGTGAGTACTGTGGAATTAGTCGAATATGAAATGAGTTGGGGTCTTGGACTGTTTACTTAGTCGAATATGAAATGAGTTGGGGTCTTGGTAGTTTGAAGTCAGATGTCAACTGCCGATTAATAGACTTTTTGGCCGTATGAGTATACGTTGCCTAGAGTGCACCACGTGGAGGTGGAATATCAATTTGGGCCAAATGTATGTTTCTGGGGTCAGACGTGTGCCTTTAACTCGAAGTCACTAGACCTTATGCAAACATAAACATTGAGATTAGGGCACAGGAGATCATCTACTTCAACTGTAAGCATCAATCTTATTTAGTGCGTTGCTACTTTATTCCTTTTTGACAAAAAAACTATTGTAATTTTTTTTGCCACAACAAGTTGAGCTGAAAAGCATGATGATAGCACAACATATCGTTGGAGGGTCATTGATGGAGGACTGAGTTATGCAGGATGTTGGGGCTGAGTTAGCGAAAGTGCTTGCGTTATGCTTCAGCCAGGAAGAGTGGGTTAGAGATGCCGGTCCTAAGGGGGGGGGAGTAAAAGTGAGACCAAGATAAGTAGCCCGTGTTTAGGATCTATAACGTCCACGGGGAGTCCATGACGGGCAATTACGTTAATTTGTGCAGGATAAACCAGGTGAGATTAAGCCACATAAATCAAATACCACAGAGGACTAGAGGAAGTCAGAAAGGTATTAGGAGACCGAAACAAATTTTGATTTTTGAAATAATTTCCAAACTTTTCAATGAAAAATATCCTATAAGTAGTGAGGAAACTACTACAACATCGCTTTTTATATACAGAAGGAGAAAAAAACTAAACTTTAACAAACGCGATAATTAATTACCAATTGAGTCGCAAGATCGGGTTGCCACCACCTTCTCGTCAAAGCAAAAAGGTAACAACTTAATTGCATTTAATTTTATTTTGAAAATTTTTGCATTGAACAGTGACCTTAAACCTATTTAAATGAATTGGTGACCGAGACCACCTTGCCTGCCACTCACAAGAAATTTCGCGTGCCCACAGGTTTCATCAGTCTTTCGATCGTGATCTTTCATTGAATAGGGGGAAATGTGAACGCATTACAGAGCACTGGGCTTTGACAAATAATCAATAATAATAAAATCGTTCATAGAAGACTGCATCGACCATGCTGTGATTAAAGATTGCTGATTGGCTGAGAGATCTCTGCACTTGTGACCTCATTTACTCCTTAAGGCAATTATCATAACTTCTGCAAAGTCCAAAATGCTCGATCACCCAAGGAATTCTTTGATTCACCTAGGCCAGTGTTATGTTGCACACAAACGTAATATGACCCTTAGATATGAAGTTGTATTCATATATCTTCCCATCATACACTTCGAATTAAAAGAAGCAATTTATCAACAAACCCAACAAATTAAATTCATAATTTAATAGAAAGGATGCAATCTACATAAAAAAGCGAAAATCTTCAACTGATTTGCTAATTCTAATTGACATTCAACTCATTCTTATTTTGATGCTTTCCAGGTTTTGTAACGAATGAAATCGCACCTTCTAGACTGCTTGTATGTGCCTGGTATTGCTCTGATCATCCCTGATAGAATTAATACGAAAATGGTGTGGCCAACTCACAGTCAAATCAACCAGACAACCACATATTTACGGAAACAATCAATTACGTTCTTCTCCAAGTAGTATATATTTTAACAATTTCCAGAGTGAAGAAAAAGTATTAGATTGCAACACAATGTCATTTGAAAAATACTTGAATGAAAATACATCCTTTCGAAAGTAAAAATGATGATTGGAGAAGCTCTACTTTTGATTTTCAAATAATTAGCCAATATCTAAGAGATATTGGTGGTAACAATAAGTCATGACTTTTGAATAATGGTTGAAAACATTGACTTTGTGGTTCAGATAAAGCCAGTTCATTTAGCAGAGAATATTCTTGAATATGCGCACAACAACTATGCCTATGCAACGCAGAATAATATTGATTAAATTTATTCAGCAGTCTTGTGAGTAGGTTGTATACATATTCAATGAACGCTTTCCACGCCGTATGCACTCTCTCGCCTGTTGGGTCATTTCGGGAGCAATCTTACAGTATGGGATCTTTTCAGAAAGTATCATTGAGGATTAGTCAAGGCTTGTTTGCGTGGTATCTGATACTAATTAACAGATTACCGCTTACTTAATGATTATACCACCCCCATAATTTAATGAATTATATCCAGTGACTTAGCAGGGTCTGATTTAGGGAACCAAGATTATTTAAGGTATTTCATTAATTTCTTACCTGAAATGCATCT